GCACTGGGGTCTGTGCAGCCCCGGGTGGGCCGAAACCCCTCGAAGCCCATGGGCGGGCTGTGGATAGAGGCGCTCCTGTTCACACGGCGTCAGGCGATGGGCGGTTTCTGCCCGCAGGCACGTGACAGTGAGCAGCAGACACAGCAACAAAACAGGGGTTACGCCGAGGTAAAATCCAACACGCGTGGACAGCCACGGGCGGCGGGTATCCTAGGCCAGGGGAGGCCACGTCTCCCCAAGCAGGCGTGGCCCCGCCCATGCCCCACGCCGAGACCCCCTCCTGCCTCCCGCTCTTCCCCTGTGGCCCCAGCCCAGGCTGCTCCACTGTCCCCCCTCCCCCTCCACGAAGTGGGCAGGGGCTGGGGTGGGCCGGCAGCCTGGGATTCGGGGAGGCTGGGGCCGGTGCTTGGGGCCGGGGCCGGCCAGCACTCCGGGCCGGCTGGTGGGCCGGGACTCAGGGCGGCTGGGGCGGGGCTCCTCCGGTTGCGGTGGGGGGGCTCAGGTAGGGGAGGGGTGGAAAGGGTGGGGCCTCAGGCTGAAGGGGCGGGGCCGAGGACTAGTCTCCCCGCCGCCCATGTGGACAGTCTTTCATTCCGGCCTCTCTCAGTTCGTTCACTGCGGTGCTCCAGCCTCAGGCACCTTTGCATGGGAGGCAAATAGTATAAGTCCCTTTCTATAGGCTGGTAAACTGAGTCGCAGAGTGGTCGGTTGATCGGCCGAGGCAGAGTCAGGAATAGACCCCATGAGTCAAAACTGCTGCTCCCTTGCTCTAACCACTAGACGCCACTCCCCTTCCCCACCTTGCAATCCAGTTTCCTTTACTGGCCCACATTTTGAAGGGGCAAATTTGGTTTTGGGTATTTGTTTTCATATTGCGCCCCCATGGCGAACACTGGCCAAACCAGGCAGATAAGCTCTGGCCATGTACAGACGCCAGTGAATGGTGCTATAAATTATAATCCGCCCGTTAAAGTACCGTACTCAATCATTGTTCTGCCCAGCATCAGCAGGGTTTGACCCTGGGCCCTTCAGCAGGGCCTCTACCATTTGAGCTAATGGCGCACCTCTGGTAGCAGCAGTAGGCAATTATCCCCTAGTGGAGCAGTCAGTAGAAAGGGGAGCATGGTCCACGTGTTGCCAGTGTGCTCAGCTAAGAGAACTAGGCTCGTGTGTTCAGTGACTTTTGGCCAGCCTGCTTGGGCAAGAGCACAGCAACGCCTCACTTAAAGTCGTCCCGGTTAACGCTGTTTCGTTGTTACGCTGCTGACCAATTAGGGAACCTGCTCATTTAAAGTTGCCCAATGCTCCCTTATAACGTTATTTGGCAGCCGCCTGCTTTATCCACTGCTTGCAGAAAGAGCAGCCCGTTGGAGCTCGCTGGTGGGGGCTAGTAACCAGGGTGGACTGGTAGCCC